TCTGGGATGCTGAGCCAGTTTACATTGAGTCTGCAGGGCTGAGGATGTGTGTGTGCATTCAAAGAGCCTTTTGTTCCAAGATTAAGGAGTTTAAAGTTTAGCTGACATAATAAAACCAGACAATATGATGATGATACAAGAGTTTAAGTCTGAATCACTATCTTCAGGTCATCTTTGGATGCAAAATAGAAGAAAATGAACAACAAGCCCTTGTTGCTATTTGAGGCTGCAGGATGATGTTAAAATGATAATTACTTTCAATTTCAGCAGCTGCCTTTAGTAAAGGGACTGTTCGAATGTTTCAGACAAACTGGAGTTTCACTTAGCTTTAGAATGTATTGACTCTATTTCATGCCTTCACACCTCACAGTTTCATAGCTACATATACTGGTGTGGTTTAGTGTTAACAGGAAGACAAAAGGCATCTTTGCAGAAGCCACCCGCCCAAAACCCAACAGGAAGTGAAAGCCCATGAAAGCACATCGCTCATACTAAACACTACACAGACTAGTATACAGTATAATACAATGGGTGTTACTCAGCATCTTAGCTGATCTCCCAAACCACAGCCAAGAACATAAAAAAATAAATGTACATATATATAAAATGTCAAACTAAAATGGAAAAATGATATGCTGGATTTTGTGTTTGTGGAGTTTGTTTCTTCATTATGCTTAAATGATGGCAAATGATAAATAAATAGGAGAAAGACAGAAACGAACAACCTACTTTCCTTTTTAAAGGATTTTTTTGTTTCAAAATAAATGATAGATTTGATCTTTCATCTCTGAAGAAAGGGAAAGAACGATAAACAAACCAATGTCTAAATAACTTAACAGCATTCAATCTTGTGCAAATGTGATGTTATCTATGCAAAGTAAGTGCAGTGACCAAAACACAAATGAGATATGGACCTATTTTGGCCACGGTTAAAAAAAACAAAACAGCATTGACTGCTGGTAGGGGAGGGGATGCTTCCTCTGGTTTCTGGTTTCTGGTTTGAAAGTCATAACATTCTGCCTTACTGACCATTCTTCACACAACAAGGTTACCTGTTGGGACAAACTGCACATGCTGTCTTTCTACTGCTGAGGACAGTTTCCAAAAAACAGCCTTGTGAAGATCTCTCTTGTCAAATGTTTCAGCCCATAGCATTCAGTTTTTTCCTTTTGTGTCCTCTTAAGGAGCTTTAAGTTTGGAAACATCACATTATTCCACACAGTATCACATATTCTGTTTGTCCCAATTTCTCATATGACGTATACCCAAGACTGCACTTTTTCCTCAGATTGGATTATTCTTGGATGTCCTTTGCATCAGTGTATACACACAAACAAATTTCAGCCTGATGAATTTTATTTGTTTGGGAACTTTGGGATCTGTACCAATATTAAAAATAAAGTTCAGTGGCTTTGTTTGGCTGCACAGCATGGGGTTTTAATGACTGATCCACTGGTGGGCTTTTTTAATTAAACATTTTTTAATTCTAATTCTCTGATGCCACACTTTTATGTTGAGGCATAATTAAAATTTCAGTGTGATAATGCCGAATGACGCACCAGCTCTCTCACAGCACTTACACTGGGAGTCCAAGCTGATCACACAAATAGCTGTATCTGCAATCACTACATCCTGTGACACAAGCAGTGACACACACATCTGTACTACCTGTAGTGAGAGAACAAGTGAAATGATCATAACCCTAATGCAATAGCATCCGGTGTGACTTTCACCCACACTTACTGTGTACTGCAGAACGTCCTGCATTGATCTGATATATACTGACCTGATTACTGTACAAATATGCTGTCACATTTAATTGAATTATTAATTTCTTCTTAAAGGAGCTATATGTAAGAAATCTAAAGCAAATAGTCGTAAAGTCATCCTAATATGTCACAGAGACTAAGGAATAATGTTCATATAACATACTGATCTCACCGACAACAATAGTACAGCCAGAATATTCGCATTAAAAAAATATTTTACGGTCTGCAAATCATGTTTATGTTTTGAATTTGTGTTTTGGCTTGTTGTGCCACCCACTGCCTTCTACCAGTCACACAGTCAGTAGAGCCTCAGCATCAGTTACAGTTACGACTGTACAGCAGCACGGCAAGCAGCATGAGCAGTGTCCCAGTACATAGCATTAGCAGTCTCCTCAGCTGTATCCTGGCAGCAGCGTTAGCAGCAGAGAAGCCGGACTTGCTCGAACGGTCCACTGGAAAACCGAAGATCAAGGACGCGGTAGACTCACAAGTCAGTCTTTAGACGCTTTGCTTAACTAAAGACTGATAACTTTCTCCCTGATTTTGTGTTTAGATGGGCGGATACAATTTCAGAGTTTAAAAAACTCCCTACGTTGCAGAACCAATAGTAAATCTGCAGGGCGGTCCTTCGGTGGCTCGCTGAACTCTTGTGCTTGTAAACATAGTCCCACTAGAAACACGTTTCGGAATCGCGTTTGCGGCGACACATTCTCACCAACTAAAAGAAACAAACATAATCTTTTACAAGGCCATGACTCATCCGTCCGGCCGGACTATAGAGGGAATCGCCTTGTTGTTTACAAATACTTCCGGGTAGAAAAGCAGCAGAGCTTTTAGCTATATATATATATATATATATATATATATATATATATATAGCCTATATATCACATTTTTCACATCACTGTATCACCGTTTGGACTAATCCGATGTTTGTAAAGTCTATAAACACAATGATTGAACAAACATTACTATTTCTGTGTGCACGTTTAGCTGGGCTAACCGTTAGCTGTTAGCCCTGTTAGCCGTTAGCAGTGTCTGTAATAGGTAATAACTCATTAAACGGTCTGTGAAAAAAATATCTTTTCCAGCGGATATCTTAGTTACAACATGATTGAGCTAGCAAAGCAGTTTTGTGTTGCTATGTGGGGTATTTATTCAGTTTTGGGAAATCACGATGTCTAGAAAGCAGCTGACAGGGACAGCTAACACTAGCAGCAAAGCTAACATCAGGACGTCATCTGTTAAAAGCCTCCCGTTGTCGGATACAACATGACACTACTCCAGTTAGCTCAATAATGTTGTAACTAAGACATCTGCTGGAAAAAATATTTTCTTCATGGATGAGCACACGTTTGATAAAACGGAGTTAAATCTCTTGGCATCCATTTTCAAGCTTTCTGTGTGTTTGTTTCCTTGCGGACGAGAAAAGGAGGAGCGCACATTTCCGAGAAGTTCCTTTTCAAAAATGCAAGAGGCGTTGCTTTGTTGCCGGCCGTTTTCGCCGGTGTGTTAAACACACTTTAGAAAGGAGTGTCCCCAGACTATCAGAAGGTGGATATCTCTGATTGTCTGGTAGCAAGACTAAGGACGCCTCAACGTGGCCCTGCCACGGCAGCCGCCTGTGGGCAAACAAATCAGTCTCCAGCGTGCCGCTGTCCAGCAACCTTGAATCTGTAGGGGAGGGGGGGTGGACACAACTTGCGGCAGTATTTTGAATTTGAATGCAGTAACTGTTTTGGCCACATTCTTACATACAGCGCCTTTAAGGAGACAGTTAACCCCAAAATCAACATAAATAATTTAAATGTGTCGCCAGACAACCGTTCACGCTCACATTCACACCTATGGGCAATTGTAAAGTCACCAATTTACCCAGCTTGCTTTAGACTCTGGAAGTAAGATGGGGAATCTGGAGAAAACCCACGCTGACACAGGGAAAGCACACAGACTCTGTACGGGGGGCTCTCCCACCCCAGGGTTCAAGCCCATCACCCTGGATTTGAACTGGGAACACTCTTGCTGTAAGGCATAATCCAGGTTGTTTTGGTGTGAGTTGCAGAGTGTTGGAGATATTGGCTGTAGAGATGTCTGCCCACTCATGCATATAATAAATAGAATACATAGATAAAATTAATTGGCACTTGGCTTATGTTGCTAAACAGCCCAAAAGAAAAAAAAACAAAAAACATTTGAAAAACGTGTATCTACTGTTAGCTCACCTAGCACTACTGAACCAACTTAGTCGAGGAAGACGCATTAATGTTTACATCTGGCACTGTTACGAGCATGAGCCTCTTTTCTATGAGTAGATGCATGCTTCCTTCTGCACTGTGATACAATTGGCGGGTGTAGTTCGGTACAAAGAAAATAGCTCCTATATGAGACTGCTCACAACAAGGTCTGTGGATTATCATAAGTAATCAGGTCATGATTTCTGGAAAGTGACATTGCTGTTGAGTTTTTCAAATGTATTTTTTAGGCCATCTAGTTTCATTATATTCTAGAGAAGGCAGACATCTCTACAGCCGATATCTCCAACACACTAAAACAATCTAGACTGATAAACAACACTAGAGGTAAGAGGAAAAATATGTTTTTTTGATTCTGGGGAGAACTGTCCCTTTAAAGATCAGGCGTCTTAATCATGCATGTACAGCAGCATCAAGGTAATCAATCATTAACTTTGTCTATAAACTCCATCGAGAAGATTAAAGGACTAGCCTGAGGTAGATAATTAGTGATATCAAAGGTGATTGTCATTATTGTCTTTGAATGACTTTATAACCACCTTTTTATTTCAGTGGGACCAAAACAAGCACTTTAGTTTGAAACATTTTACACCCCTGCTATAGTTTCCATCACCACTCTCTGTCCCATCAACACTCTTTCATTCAGCCAGAGGGCACACTCACGTGTCTCATATATTTATATCCTTATCTTACCCTTTCAAGCCTTGTCATCTCATCTCTTCATTTCCTCTTACCATTCGTCCCCTCAGCTCTACACAGGAAGTGTCATGCTCTGCCCTGCCCCTGTCGCTGCCTCTCATCTCTCAGTTTTGTTTCTGTCACACTTTGCGTGCAGTATCTCACCCACAGAGAGGAACTGTGGTTCATACCGAGGCTTCTCCACCTCAAGAGAAGCTGTCTTCCCCTCTCTGGCTCTCCTTTTCTGTTTTACTGCAGCTCCTCTCAGATGATCCATCTGTCACCCACTTGCAGCTGATCTTGTACCCACCCTGCAGCCACAACATGAGCCTACGGAAACTCAGTGAGTATTGTTTGTGTGTGTCTGTGTGTGGAGCAGCTGCACTTTGTTCATGTGTTTACACATATAGTCAGCCTGGGTGTTAGCTGGGTTACCTGTCTGTCTTACGCACAATGTGCAAGGACCAACTTGATTTTTATTGAGAAAAGCAGACCTGCACAACAATAGTATTTTATATATTTAATTTATACACAGTATATTATTTTAATAATAGACAATATATGTTTTGTAAAAGCAGGTCTTTATATAAATAGCAAAAAAACTTGCATGCTTACTGATAATGACACACAGGGACAAAAAAGCAGGACCAAATGCACCCCTACACTCACATGCACACACATAGATGCACATACATGTTTTACTGAGCTGCATAGCTGCACATGGTTGACTGCTCCTACATCTCTCATCTCTAGAGTGATCAAAACACTAGCTTTGCAAGAGGGAATTTTTGTGTAACAGCTGTGGAGAAGAGAGGCACTTGTTTATTAAAGCTGCATTCACATATTTTCACCTCTTGGGGGCAGCAGAACAAGCAACATTTGGCATATCAGCTTATAAAGTAAGCAAAATGACCTGTTAACACATCTAGCAGGCACGGAGCAACATTAGAATTCATTTGCAGGGGTGCGCCATCAGGAGAGGCAAACTAGGCAAATGTTTTGAGTCTATCATATATACACTAGGTGTATCCATCAAAGCAATGAAACTGGGCCTTAATGGGCTTCTTTGCTTGGGGTCCCCCCGAGTCTAGGATCGCCACTGAGTTGTATTTCTCCAATAATCACTCTCCTTTTGGCTTTGTGTTAGTGTTTGCCAACTGCTGAGAAAAATACTGTGTTTTTAGCTTACAAGGTGCTTTTATGTGTTCCACAGCTAACAGCTACCTTGTCTGAAATTTAATGCACGGCAGGTGGCTGGTCAGAAATTAGAGCAGAATTTATGACTTCAAAAACCAAAACAATAAGCTAAAAGACACAAAAAAGCTCTGCAGAGATGTTGATTCAGCACTCCAAACGACACCTTTCACATTACACGTAGTTATTTGATCCATTATAGAAATATACAGTACAGGCCAAAAGTTTGGACACACCTTCTCATTCAATGCTTTTTCTTTATTTTCATGACTATTTACATTGTAGATTCTCACTGAAGGCATCAAAACTATGAATGAACACATGTGGAGTTATGTACTTAACAAAAAAAGGTGAAATAACTGAAAACATGTTTTATATTTTAGTTTCTTCAAAATAGCCACCCTTTGCTCTGATTACTGCTTTGCACACTCTTGGCATTCTCTCCATGAGCTTCAAGAGGTAGTCACCTGAAATGGTTTCCACTTCACAGGTGTGCCTTATCAGGGTTAATTAGTGGAATTTCTTGCTTTATCAGTGGGGTTGGGACCATCAGTTGTGTTGTGCAGAAGTCAGGTTAATACACAGCCGACAGCCCTATTGGACAACTGTTAAAATTCATATTATGGCAAGAACCAATCAGCTAACTAAAGAAAAACGAGTGCCCATCATTACTTTAAGAAATGAAGGTCAGTCAGTCCAGAAAATTGCAAAAACTTTAAATGTGTCCCCAAGTGGAGTCGCAAAAACCATCAAGGGCTACAATGAAACTGGCACACATGAGGACCGTTTGTTTGGGCCAAGAAACACAAGGAATGGACATTAGACCAGTGGAAATCTGTGCTTTGGTCTGATGAGTCCAAATTTGAGATCTTTGGTTCCAACCGCCGTGTCTTTGTGAGACGCAGAAAAGGTGAACGGATGGATTCCACATGCCTGGTTCCCACTGTGAAGCATGGAGGAAGAGGTGTGATGGTGTGGGGGTGTTTTGCTGGTGACACTGTTGGGGATTTATTCAAAATTGAAGGCACACTGAACCAGCATGGCTACCACAGCATCCTGCAGCGACATGCCATCCCATCCGGTTTGCGTTTAGTTGGACGATCATTTATTTTTCAACAGGACAATGACCCCAAACACACCTCCAGGCTGTGTAAGGGCTATTTGACCAAGAAGGAGAGTGATGGAGTGCTGCGGAAGATGACCTGGCCTCCACAGTCACCGGACCTGAACCCAATCGAGATGGTTTGGGGTGAGCTGGACCGCAGACACCTCTGGGAACTCCTTCAAGACTGTTGGAAAACCATTTCAGGTGACTACCTCTTGAAGCTCATGGAGAGAATGCCAAGAGTGTGCAAAGCAGTAATCAGAGCAAAGGGTGTCTATTTTGAAGAAACTAGAATATAAAACATGTTTTCAGTTATTTCATCTTTTTTTGTTAAGTACATAACTCCACATGTGTTCATTCATAGTTTTGATGCCTTCAGTGAGAATCTACAATGTAAATAGTCATGAAAATAAAGAAAACGCATTGAATGAGAAGGTGTGTCCAAACTTTTGGCCTGTACTGTATACATGTGTATATATATTGTGCAGCTTTAATCAGTTCATCTTCTTTAACTTCTTTTTGCTCCAACTTTTTAAAAAAAAATGAGGATGTTGAGCTGGCAGGTGGGCAAACACATGAACCAATGTCATGGACCTGTCATCACATAATGAGCTTTTTTTCCCCTGCTTGTTCCTGCCTCAAGGTTTGAAGTGGTTTGGTAGCCTCACCAACCTCTCCTTTCGCCGCTCCACTGAGAAATCAGACTCCAAGTCCTCTCCGTCCAAGTCTGGAGCTGGATATGTACCTGGAGATGTCTGTGGTGCAGCAGTCCTGGCTCCAGTTGTTGAGGCAACAATGGATGACATGGATGCCATGCGACCTCGCACTGCCAGCTATGTCCGCTCCAGTGAGAGCTACACACACATGGGCACACTGCCCCGGCTACTGATGAAGAAGAGAGACAAAGGCAATAAAGGTAAAGAAGCAGACGATATGAACAGCACCACAGACAACACTTTGCACCATGACAAACCTCTGATGTATATCTATGATGTCATTTCTTCTTTAGGAGGCTCCAGCAGCAATAAGAAAACTAAAGACAAGAGCATCAGCAGGAGTCAAAGCCAGCGACCTGCAGGGGACCAAGACCGTTCACCCCTGAGGCTCACAGCTGCCTCATCCAAAGCAGCCAGGGATGAAGCTGGAGCTAAAGCTGACACTGGGCTCACTAAAGACTGTCTCACTGATCCAAAGACCCAGCTGGGACCCACAGATCAAACTACTGCCACAAACACCCAAAACACCATCTCTGGACCTGTAGCTGTCAGGGAAGATGTGTCGCCATCTGGTGGCTCAAGTTCTGCACTCCAACCAGAGACTTCTGACAAGCAGGGCATCACCCAGACAGGTGCAGACTTAAACCCACATCCTCTCAGCCCAGGGAGTGATCAGACCAGGACTCATGAGGATGATGGGTTAGAGTCCAGGCCTGTGTCTGAACCAAAGGAGGAGGCTGAGAGCAGAGAGCTGACAGAGGGAGCGGACAGTGGAAACCAAAACTCTGACAGCACTCACAGGTGAGTCATTAAAAGAGAAAAGGTTAGTGACTGGGAGAATAGAGAGTGCCATAAATTTAAGTGCCGGCCCTGTTGACCCAGATTTGTTTGGTGTGCACAGAAGGCTGTTATCTAGCTTATGAAAGCTCTGATCAAACTAAGCAAAGGTCATAAAGAAAAACATGTCTGCACTTGTTTGAATCTATAAACTCATGATTGTAGGCTCTGTGTTTTAAGTATAAGTACAGTATTGTCAGCAAAATCTGCTCAGTAAAAGTACAATACGATACGATACGTTACAATACGATACGATACGATATGGAAATTCGTCTTGGACTCAGGAGCTGCAGTATAGTATTGCTGCCTTACAGTAACAGTCCAGAAGAAATGAAGCATACACTATAAAAACATAAAAACACATACTACACATAACAGTAGGCCTATTGCACATCAGCCATTCATGTATTGCACGTAACAACAGAGCACCATAAGCAAAGCACAAAACACACCCCTAAATTATTATAAACATTATTTAAAATCTTAACTGGGGTTGGCACAAATTAATTTTAAAATTAAAATTTGAAGTACTTTTGAAAGTGCTGTTTCTGGCCTCCATGACATATGTAGTATTTACATTAATTTTGCCCCTTAGAGGTCCAGTGACCTCTCTTTTTCTAGAATGATCTTCATCCATTGTTTCAGGAGGTCCTTGTAGTGCGCCAATTCCAAAAGGACTATTTGTCCGTGGTATCTGTGGAGGAATACGTTTCTCATTCAGCTCAGTGTTGAGTGAAATAAAATGACAACAGTGGAAATACTCAACAAAGAAACAAGAGCCACATGATCACAAAATGTTACTATAAATCTATAGAACTTGATAACCCACCTCACTTGTGGTGCAGCATCCACACATATCTTATTGACAGCAAGAGGGAAACACTCCATGAAGCTCTTTCCTGCTGTCAAGACGCGAGCCACTCCCAGGCTGTCAGCCAGCTGGTGCAGATGTTGAGCCATACTTCCTTTAACTGCAATACAGTGGTGGCTGAGGAGGGATGAAGACAGGGGAATATAAGACACTATGTATTATTATTATTCTATTTAACTTCAATGCTTTTGCTGATGAAATGAATGCAGCCTCTTCTCTCGTCTTACCTCAGCCCTGTGTTCAACAGAACACACACAGTGTGACCATTGCTGCAGTTTTCTACCAGGGCGACCAGAGCACGATTAGCCTGTTGTTTGTGCCAATTTCGACCTGTTCCTTTTGCCTCTGGGTCCACGGCCTTCTTGAGGTGAACATACAGCTCAGCTATGGTGCTCACTGCTTTGCAGGCAACCGCTGAGCGTAGGTTGTTCACCTGTATAGCGACAATAAACAGCTTGCTTATAGATGCACATTAGAAAATGTGAATTCATGGGACAAAAACTGAAAAATATAGATACAAAAAGGAAAGTGTGTACAGTTTCTCCGCAATGAGAAGCAGACAGATGTCATGTAGATTGGTCTTCAGGGTGTCTGCATGGTGCTTTATCCTGTAGCCTATATTTAAATGTAAAGTATAATCAACCTTATAAAAGGTACTGTTAACAACATCTACTGGCTCCTCATCAAAGTTCAATAAAGTAGCTCTAGGCAGGGCGTATTGATGTGACATTGACAGGTTTCATATCAAACTAATTAGCTGCAGCATGACTGACTTAAGATCAAGCATCCATTGAGCTGGTATAACAGACTGCTCTGAGCTGTCAGTGTCTATACCAGTCATCTGAGGAGAACAGCTAGAAGCAGGGCTGGGCCGTCTTCTTGACCTTTTTACCATTTGTAGTGTTAGGGCTGCAGTTACCGGTTCTCTCCTTGCCAGCTCAAAAGCAAAACTCTCTTTGTTCACCTGTCTTCTCATTCAAAGCATTACCACAGCTATTATAATTCTTCACAGAAAACTATAAGAAACTCACACGTGCAGTTCACAGCTTACTCAGGATATGTGTAGAATGTACCTGCCACTGTCCCAGGTTGAGTCCCTCTTTTCTGGGCTTGTGGGTTGGAGCCATAGTGTCACTTGCCAAGATCAGCTATAAAAGCAGTAGCCACTTTAAGACCTTTATCACATCAGTTATTTCTGTGCTTCAGTGGTGCGCAGATTTTTTGGGGGGGGTTGGGGCTAGGAAGAAAACTGCACCTCTTTTGGGACAGACTGCATTGAACACTTATTGTTTAACCTCAGTGCAACATGTAGTGTTGGGTATAATGGAGTTTTTCAAAAGACAAGCAACCAACAGTTTAATTCATGCATGAATTATGACGGCTTGGTCAAGATTTTTTCCAAAGGGATTATATTCCTTACTAAAATATGAAGTTCATTTTTTTAAACATGCATTTTTCAAGGACTTTTCTACATGTCCATTCGGGCGGACAAGTTTTCAACGAGAAAGAAAAAGAAGAAATATAAACCAATAAAAAAAAATATATTAAGTTAAGCTTTTTTTTTTTTTTTTAATGTTGTTAAACTAGAGTGTTCACATATTTTGATGCACTCCAATACTGTTCAATGCCTGTGCAAAAGCGCTGAATCTTGCTTCTGACTCCTCAGCCTCTCTCCTCTCTTTCTACACCTCCCTCTGGTACCCTCCTCCCTCATTCAGCTCCCTCCTCTTGACTCCTCAGCCCCCACACACCTTAACCTGTTAAAAGATATATATTTTTCCAGTGAACATTTTCTACAAAAATACAAAAATCTTGTCAAAATATTATTATCACAAAAATTGCAAGTTACATTCTAATAACATATGTCAATTTATTTACAGCAGAAAAAGCTGCAGATGATGCACAAGGTTGCAGTAATGGTATTAAATTAAAGTAAAATTTACTAACTTTATTACTTCTTAGACGTTACTTGATGTTTACGAATTCTATTAACCTACCGGGGTCTACTACTATAGTAGGTCTGGCGATAAATTCCTGAGCTGCACAACATTTCCTGCATTCCGTCGGCCATCTTGGTTTTCAGAGATTTGTGTTGCACTTACAACACCTGCCCAGTGGGTGGCAGTGTATGGCAAGATGCACAGGGGTGCACTGTAGTGGCTTACATGCAACTATAGCATCAAAGCCCATGCAAATACAAGAAAATGGCTGTCTCCTGTAGTGACCACTATGCATGGAAGGGTTGAGCAGAGGTTTTAGATAAAGGGCTTTTTTTCTATTTTGGCACCTTTAAGTTTATTAAAATGACCATGCAGTAAATGTTGGCCTGGTTATATCCGAGCACTGACAAACTGCGCACATTGCTGAGGGAGTAGAGGACCTGTAGGTCAGCAGCGGAGCAGCAGTACATATTTAAAGACATGTCGATCCGCCCATGCTCAGTGCGTAAACCAGGGGGCGCAAATCGGTTTAAATTGCGTGGACCCACCAGGGAAGTCGGGCATCTTACAGTGTTTGTGCTGACTTTGCTGTGGACAGGACTTGCCTGAGGCGATGGGTGTGAGGTGAGACGATAACAGGATTCATTACTTCACTTTTTAAAGGCAGCAGGTGATATCGATCGCTTTTATTGATCAGATGCCGCTGGAAAGCTGCCGCGCTGTTGTTGCTCTGATGTTTTCTTATTTTGCATTGATTTGTTCTGACACACGGGAGACCGGACATAAATAAGCCCTTTTGTGTGCTCATTGTGTGCGTTTCATACTGCTGTAGTTGGTTTATAAACAAAGGCAAACTTTACTGAGGAGTTTGAGGGAGGATGTTGTGCAGCTCCTCTTCTCAGCAGTGCAGAGTGCATTGTCTCGCAGCTTTCCCATGACATGCCAATGTCTCCCTGCCTCCAATATTCCATGCATGATAGCGGAGCGTATCATGTTACAGTGGGATTTAAAGCGTGTGTGTGCATGTGTGGTTGCAGTTGTGCTGGCGTGCATGGGCGCGCATGTGCGAGCGTGCAGCATCAGCCCATTAGTTCAGGCCAGGGACCGTGGGAAATATGGCTCTATGGTGTAGTGTAAGTTCAGTATGGGCACATCAAAGAACTCTTCAGCCCTAAATCACTCGTCCTCCTGTCCCTCAGCTTCACTGTCCTTTTCCCTCCCCTGTTCTTATTCTCACCAAAGTGCAGGTCTTCACTTCTTTGGTGCTTTTCTGGAGAACCAATTTCACTTAATTCTCAGGCTGTGTTGGTGGTGCCTTCGGGGGCTGGTAAGATTTGGCTTTGAAATGAAATTATGGCATGGTGTCCGTGGGATTGTGAAGTCAACTGGCATAATCATGTGTTTTGTTCTTTTGCCTCAGTGTCCCTCAGGGGCCGGAGCATGTCAGCTGCTTTGTTGGGCACTCATTTGCATGTTTAACTGCAGTTAAAACAATTAGTGGATGAAGTGATTAATCGATCAGCAGATAAGTAATCAGCAGCAGATTCATAATTTCACTGTGTTTTTCAAGCAAACATGTCAAACATTTGCTGGTTTCAGCATTTCAAACATGATGATTTGATGCTTTCTGTTGTCACATGACATTAAACTAAATATCCTTTGGTGGTGGAGTGTAAAACAAGAGTTTCAGTTTTTGTGATGGGCATTTTCACTTTTTTTAAGCATTTTATTGACAAGATGATTACGTGATTTATCACGAAACTAACCTGAAGATGAATTGATATTGAAGTCCCAGTCACAGCCAATATTGAGTCAGTTTTACTTACATAGCCCAAAATTAGAGCTTCCTGCAGGAGGGCTTTGTAGTTTCTACTTCTGACAACCTCTGTTCTTACATCCTTGAATCAGATGCTGTTGCTGCTTGTAAAGAGTAGTAGCACTATTAGAATTACAGTAGAAACAGGGTTTTAAAATTAAGTCAGTCAAATGCGATATCAAGGTCATATAGTAATATTGACATTAATAAAATAAAATGATTTGATACATAATAATCCTGAGCATTTGAAATACTCACTTCCCACACTATCGATAGACCAGCACCAGCTACGCTTGCACTCTTCTCTCCTATTGTTAATATCACTTTGCTGTTCTCTGCTACTAACCAAGACACGAAGAATCATCATTGTCATAGAATTGAGCATAGCGTTAGTTCTGGCAGGACACGATGTCTAGCTCAGCTCACATCCCAGCTACATCAGCTGATCTCAAACAGCCCAATCAACTGATGGAGCAGCTGATTGATGGAAGGGAGTGCTCAAAGTGCATAAAATAATAAAAAGTGAATAAAAGCAGCAGCAAACTTTTAAGTCCTTTACTATCATCAGTGCTACTGACATGAGTGCTTCACAGAGCAGATATAGACACAGACAGATTACTACCAGGTCTGATCAATCAGTCAGGTGGGGCCACTAATTAGATGAGATCAACTCTGAGGAGCAGAGGCACCAATGTATTAGTGTTTGAGGATGTTGTGATTTGTACAACATTTTTTACTTTGAGCACCTTTTTGTGCACAGATGTTATAAATAAACTGACTTTTCTTTTTTTGCATTGATCTCAGCCTGTGAACCTTTTACGTGGCTGTCCAGCCCAGTTGTATTGGTCTGCAGGTATCTCCTCTGCCATCCTTTCTTGGTTGTCCGTTGTACTGACGCACCCGAGATAAACGTTTTGTTGCCCTAGTAGGCGCAGTTTCACAGCAGCCCTAAGACTTTACTGCAATTATCAAATTACAAGTGGTTTGCACATGATTATGTGGGGAAATAGATTTTGCATCTTCAATATTTAATGTTTATCCAAATGTGCTTTGCAGGAATGGTTTGAATCATTTAACTTTCATATGTGAAATTAAAGCATAAAAGTATAAACACTCTGCATGTTTATAAGTGTTTGAACCACCGCTAGTATAACTGACATTGACTTCAGCTCTACTGTAGTGTAGAGCTGCAACCATTAATCAGTTAATCAATTGGTTTATCTTAAACTGATTAATTGACTATGAAATTCCTTTTTTAAAAAAAAGTCTAAATTGTCTGGGTCCAGACAAGCAGCCGGGCTTCACAAGACGGTACAACTCAACATGCCCTCCCAGAACAGGAAAGAGAAAAAGAAAAAACACTAAAGGGCCCCCTCACGATGTTTGTTGCTCACAGATTAACACACACTCTGTGTAAACAGTGAACTAAGGCAGGATAATAAACAAAATATTTAACCAAGGGTAAGAAAATGAAATTAAATTATCCCCTGCTGGAGATGCCTCATGCATGAAATTTTCATTAAGTTTATGATGTTGAATATTTCTAGGGCGCAACAGAACAAGACATTTGAGGACATCATCTTGGGTTTTGCCTGGAAAACACTGGCTGCCATTTTTCATCATTATCTGACATGTTATAAACCAAACAACTCATTTATTAATAGAAAATAATCGACATCATTAGATGCAAAGCCTCATGTATGACTGCTATGCGTTTCTCTTTAAAGCTCAGTCACATTCTTCTCTGAATAAAAGCTGATGCAATCAGTGCAAATGATGGAGGCAAAGACTTAACATCTGTACAACCTTTTCTTTTAAGTTGAAGCACAGGAGCAGTTTGGGAAAAGAACGTAGAGCTCCTCCGCCGTGGGACCTTTTAACATTCCCGAGCCTGCTGCCACAAAGGGGCCCTTTGATCTGGCCTCTCTGTGGTCATGTGTAACACGGCTTTGCTCTGGGCCCTGTGAGACCCATCATGCAATTGGGAGCTGCGCTGATTGATCTTAAAACTTGTCCGGGAGTGTAATTGCCCCTTTTAGCTCGCACTCGCTCTGTATCACAAAGTACCCACGGTACGGCTCCCAGGACTGCTGCGCAGCGGGGGTTTTGACACATGATCCGGATGCAGCGTGAGTGTAAAAGTGTGAGTTACGGTGCCCAAGAGATTTGAGAGGCGAGTTCCATATTCAGTAACCTTAGATGCTCAGTGGGGTTTGTTATCTATGCGTTTGCCATGAACCTGGACTGCAACAACATTTTACTCACTGGAGAAGTGGGTCATGGGAATACAGGCAGGTTTTTTTCTCTGTGGTAACATGCAGTGCACCTGTTACAAGCACAGATCAAACACAGAAGCATGTGCACATGTTTCTGACAGAGGTTTACAGACGTTTATCTGTTATTTTGTTGCCTAACATCTCCCTTCTTTCATCTCTCTTCGTGTTTCTGCAGCCACATGGAGCCAGCAGAGAGCCAGGCGGAATATGTGCAGGTAAGTCTGCTCTGTCCAGGTGTGTGTGCATCTGTACGTGCCCTTGTCCTGCCCTTGAATGTGTGTGTGGTTGCACCAACTTATGTGCTGTGTGTGTGTTTTCTTGCTCCATGAAAAAAGGTTTCTCATTTCATCGCCCTGTGTTTTTCTGTCAGTGACACACATGCACACATGTAATGCCCGAGATGCCGATAGATAGGAGTTTTAGTTTTTAACCTCCACCATCAACCCAGCTTGAGTTTCCTCCTCTCCCCCATATTATTGAATTAGATTTTTTTAATGTGAGCTCTCAGATGTAATTGTGGCTGCTTATTAGCCCTTAGTCTTCAACAGTTGTGCTCATTTCAGCAGGCTCGCTCTGCCTTTAGCCTAATTCAGTCTGCCATTTAGCTAATTGAATTAGGAGTGAAGCAGTGCTAATGTCAGCACTGTGCGGCCAGCGTGCAGTCTGTGCTGCAGCCAGTAGGTGGGGCCATAGCCTCGGTTTGTGAGCTCAGTAAAGCTCAGAGAGCATGTGAAGATGTTTCTTGACCTTGGACATGGATGATAGGGATTTGTACATCCTAGATCGCACAAACACACCTTAATGCAGATGCTGGACTTTTATAGCAAACGTGGAGAGTGTGAGTAAAGAAAGTGAAGAAAGGAAGGAAGAGCAAGAGACAAGGGAAGAGAAGTGAACTGCTGAGCACTTGGGATATGTTTTTGTATTGATTATCCATCAGAGGCTGGTGGTAAAAGCCTTCTCCTATGACCCTGACCTGTCTTCCTTTTGTAAAACAAATACATCCAACTTCCTCTGACCACAACAAATTGACTATAGTTAAATCCCACCGTACTGCCTCCTTTGTCAGGATTATAATGTTGGAAGCAGAGCAACAGCAAATAGGCAACGGGGGACGAGTGAGTGGAGAAACATTTCAAATGCAGATTCTTCTGTGCACTAGAGTCACTGAATGGTTTAGTGAGTATGAAAATGAGGTGAATAAAATGCTACAGCTTTTACAGTCACCAGATCTCGACCCAGCTGAACATATATGGAAGATTCTGGACCAACGTATAAGATAATGTTCTCCACTATCTTCACCAAAAGACCAAATTATATAATATAGACTCAAACATTCAAATGACTGTCTATAAGCTGTATGTCCTTTTGTTATGTCTGGCCACATAGGTCTCTTTTGATCTCAGTGAGATAAAGGTTGTATATATAAATGCGGCATTATCGAATATCTTGTGGAGGAATGGTGTTCATCCCTTAAAAAGAGTTCCCCAGACTTGGCAAGGAGCATTGGAGCTATTCTTGAGGCTACTGAGACACTTCATGTTGGTTTTTCCTTTAATTTATCACCCATCTGTACTGCACTACAAAGGCTGACTGCAGTACAGTTTGGGTCAAAATGGAGTTATGACTTAATTTAAACCTCTGGATATCTGTTATATCCTGTGACAAAATTTCCTTGTTCTGTTCTCGAGAAAATAGGGTGTAAAAATCCAACCAAAACCCAAGACAAACTGTGGCAAATGTAGTTACTGCACTCTGGATTCTAGGGATTTGGGATTCTTTCAGGCCAAGGAAAATCACAGTAAGCGTATTACAGTGAAAAGTGACGTAAGAATGAGGATGATGCCAACAACAAAATAACTTATAACATCACAATGACCTAAAAATAATTGATGATGGTGACGATAATGATGTCAAATAATCTCAGTTAGGTCAAACTTGACAGACATGAATATTACAACAAAATAATACCTGAGGGTGTGTTAACATTTCCCTCTGTTACTCTTTTTAAAACAGACACAAATACAAATTGAATGTAGTAAGAAATGAAAACAGTTTCCTCATGCTGAAAAAGATAAGACACTAAAATTGTAGTCATTGCACTTTGCCCTGGCATTACGCACACAGCTATTTAAGGTAACAGTGGGAGCACAGTATAACTACAATTACTTTACATTTTTTGGGTCATAGGTCAAATCATTGATAATGTCATTTAAACATAAAAATGACTTTATGAAAACCTATTTGATAAGTGCATTACCACGTTTCTACCTATGACACATTTGTCTGCACAATTCAAAAAAAAACTTTGAAGCCATATTTGTTTCAGTCTTATCGTAGTTCCTGCAGTTGGCCTGTGTGGGGCAGTGTAGTACACTTCTGTAACACTTTGCTTGCCTCATTAAGGCCAATAGGTTGTTTTTAACCTGAAACATTTTAATTACAGTTACAGATATAATCAGAGAGTTTGGATTACAGATGGAAAATCAGCATTTTTTGTATCAGTCTCTCATAATTGCGAATATAGGCTTGTTTTAATGCTGCGTTTATACACAGCTGTTTAGTGTTAGTATAGCTAAAGTGGTAAGCCACCCACGACCTCATGCACCTCGCTTCATCACCAATTTACTTCGTATATTAAAGCCTAAACAACTTGTTTAATATGTGGCTGTCTGCTCTTCCCCCCCCCAAAAGGTTGGTGTTTTATTTTATAAAGGCGTATTAATTTTTTAGTATGTGTGACATGGGCTTTATTTCAGGAAGGTGACCCACCTCTGCTATAAAACACTTTGCACCACAGGCCACCAAGACGTCCCATGACGAGTACTTAATACCATTAAAACCACTCTCATGCTGACACCAGATAAATGTTGCTTAACTTCTTTTGGTTCTGAAGTTTTTTAATTTTATATAAGCTTCACAAATGACTGCTTTTAACATTAATTTTCACGTTATTTCATGCATGTAATAGTGACTGAACACGCAACAAGTATTCATTCAGATTTTAAAGGCAAGAACTGAAGTACTGTTTTCTGTTTTACACCTCAACTCATCTGTTTTTTTCATATTCATTCATACATGTTTTGTCACCCAAAGTAGTTCCTTCTTTCCTGTTCTTGCTCTCAAGCACCACAACAGCCCCTCCCACCCCCACCCACCGCCCCACCCATTCCCTGAAAGCTGCCAGCAGTCCCTCCATCTCCTTCCATTTCCCTGAAACATTTATGACAGCTGATGTTTAAATCAGGAGTTGGTCACAGTGTTCCCTGTTATAATGGGAAAGACCAGGCCAATGACTCTCCCCCGGTTTGTTACATGTGCACGCACACACACGTGTACATTTATTTACTCACATACACTCACATAGAATCACACATACATAAAATGAGACAAAGTGAGACAGAGGTAAAGACAGACAAACCGATTTGGTCTGAATACACTCAAAGAAAACAAGCAATCAGTAAGAAAAATCCTGAAACACTGAGGTCAAGTTATTCATCTTTCAGGCTTTATCATAAAATATCTATCATCATTAATTTTTCATGTGGATGCACGGCTGGTCAAGCAACATCGACAGCTTTTGTTTGTGTGACTTTAAGTGTAAAAACAGGCCGTGTCCTACCGTGTTAATCAGAAGTGTTCAGTCTAAGTTTGAGCTTGTTTTGAAATAGTGTTTATGACGTTGATGTATGTGGCTCCATGACTGTGTGCGTTTGTTTTTGCCTGCGGCCCAGCCCTGCTTTGTCTACCAGCCTTTTTAGTGGTTTGGTTTGGTGCTATTTTGACGGGAGGAGCAGGAGGGGGGAGGTGGAGCGGGTCGCATCATGTGAGGTTTATTAACACACGTCTGGCACTAGAGTCACAATGGTGCTCTAAAGAAAAATCTGTGTGTGTGTGTGTGTGTGTGTGTGTGTGTGTGTGTGTGTGTGTGTGAAGGGGCTCAGCTGTATCTGCGCAATACTGCATGTGTGATTATGCGAATGGTTTGAATTTTCAAAATCTGTATGTGTCTGTGTGCCGCCTGATTAAATTAAGGCAGTGCCCTGTGGGTGCATGTTCGTGTTTGTGTGTGTGTGTGACAGTTACAGTAGATGAATTAATGTGGCGCCTCTGTAAATGAGAGGGGGTGTAAACTGTCAAGGCTGGCCCTCGGTTACACACCCCTGGAAAGTCTCCAGTTACTGTTCCTGTGCAGACAGACTGACAAAGACTCAGAGTACAGACACACGTCTGCACACACTTACAGTTCACACACTGTGTTTACGTCTCGCATTATTTGCATAAATCAGTTTATTTAGGTCACTGAAGAGAAAAGGGCCCAGATATGCACAATATCTTTTTATGGCACATCTGTGAAGTCTGACTCGGATAAAATAACAGAATCACCTTAAAATGCAGTGAAGTACAGTACAATACCCTGCAGTAAATACCAGTTTGGTGAAACCCACAATATTCAGAGTGACATGATAAGAGTTTTCCATTGCTACACGTATAATTTTTTCAAGTGTTTGCAGCTGACCAGCAATTTAAGCCAATAATGACAATTTTAGCAGGTAGTGTGTGCCAAGACTGTCATCTGATCTGAGCATATTAGCATGCTAACATTAGCACCACAGTGGGGACTGCCCATCGTTGCAATGGCTCAAATTTCCGAAGCCCTATTAGTTAAAAAAATGTGCCACTGGAGCCAAAGCCCATTTCTCTGACAGCCCGTTTTTCCAAAAACAAATGCCCATTGCTCCAGAGTCCCGTTTCTCAAAAAATACACCCTCCCTGCAGTGAGACAACCTAAGTGACAGAAAAAAAATGTTCACATTGGATGTGTCTGTAAACTGCAGATGTGTTACATTTGTCAACAACGCTGTGCTGAAGGTGTGGTTAAGTTTAGGCACAAAAACCACTTGATTATGGTGAGGAAAAATTGTGTTTTTGCATAAAACACCCATGTTTGGTGGCACAAAAGTTGCTGGAAAAGCAGGGACAAGTTGGTAAAAAAAAACACCAGAGTTCGGCAGCTCAAATGCTGCTGGGAAACGCTCCAAAGGGTCGCTAAAAACCCCCAGGATCGGTGGCTAAAACCTCGCTGGGAAACACAGCGAAGTGTTGGTAAAAACACCCAGGATCGGTAGCTCAAATGACACTGGGAAACATCACGAAGGGTCAATAAAACACCAAGGATTATTGGCTCAAATGCCGTTCTGCAATGCTGCAAAGG